TTCTATACCACGGAAAAGCTCTGCTTATGCCCAGCACCCCTCCAATGTGAAACTGGAAGAAGCCCGAGCAAAAGCACTGTTCCGCTCAGTAGTTGATTTGTCTCGGCACTGCGGTGATGAGACTTATGCAAAGGCGGCAGATCTGAAAGAAAGATCTGGTGTGGTAGACGTGTCCGATGTGCCCTGGATTTGCAAATTGCTTGGTGTCAAGATTCGAGTTACTCTCCAACCCGAGGCCGGGGGTGCACAAAACGTGTTTTTGTCATTATACAGCCCCATTCCTTTCTCTGCAAATATCATATTTCTACAAGCCTCTTTTTAATATATTTATAATTTATATATATATAAACGCTATATGTGTTTATACTCTTTATGTATATATATGTATATCTATTGTATCTATATATATATACAAATCAGCAGCCTAAGAGCAAGTGCAAAAACAGGTGCAAGAAGCTCTTGGCAACGATAATATTCCAAGAGATTGCAACTATGGAGATGGAGATGTACGCTTTCACCTCTACTACCAGTGGCAAATGAGCAGCGAAGATCCAACTCACTCCTTTGGTCACTGGAACTTTCTTTTGCCACACGAGGTAGGCAATGATGGAAGGAGACCCAAACTTCTATTGTCTCAGCAAGCACCGCCGGGGCCGACGAGCCTGAACTACACAAACCCACAACTGCTGCATGTGCATGAACAAACCCAACAAAAACATCATGAGCAAGTCCAGCAAAAACTGGAAGATTTGCCGCTGGTAGTCTGCATTCCCCGCCAGGGTGTGAAACAAACACCCTCAGCGGCAAAAGCAACCACAACCGTACAACAAAGCATCGAGCCAGCACTATTCAAAGAGCCCTCCCAGCAGGTACATCAAGATCATCAAGCAAAACACGAAGCAACACCTGCAGAGCCAACAGAAACAATGCAGCAAGGCAGCGGCATGGAGGAAGCATCCTCCCAGCAGGTACCTGAAGCAAACACCAAAGCAGCACCTGCAGAGCCAACAGAAACAATGCAGCAAGGCAGCAGCATGGAAGAAGCACCCTCCCAGCAGGTACCTCAAGCAAAACACGAAGCAACACCTGCAGAGCCAACAGAAGCACTTCAGCAAGGCAGCGGCATGGAGGAAGCATCCTCTCAGCAGGTACCTGAAGCAAACACCAAAGCAACACCTGCAGAGCCAACAGAAGCACTTCAGCAAGGCAGCGGCATGGAGGAAGCATCCTCCCAGCAGGTACCTCAAGCAAACACCAAAGCAACACCTGCAGAGCCAACAGAAGCACTTCAGCAAGGCAGTGGCATGGAGGAAGCATCCTCCCAGCAAGTACCTCAAGCAAAACACGAAGCAACACCTGCAGAGCCAACAGAAGAAATTCAGCAAGGCAGTGGCATGGAGGAAGCATCCTCCCAGCAGGTACCTCAAGCAAACACCAAAGCAACACCTGCAGAGCCAACAGAAGCACTTCAGCAAGGCAGTGGCATGGAGGAAGCATCCTCTCAGCAGGTACCTCAAGCAAAACACGAAGCAACACCTGCAGAGCCAACAGAAGCACTTCAGCAAGGCAGCATAGCAGAAGCATCCTCCCTGCCTGAAGGGGATAAACAAAGGTTTTTGGGAGCATTGCAAAGGCATAAGGTCAAAATGAAGGATGGCAAGTTCTTGGGGCTTCTTGTTCAGCAGAAGTATGCTGAAAGATTCACTCGCTCTTTGGAATCACGGAAATGCTTTGAGATAAGGAGCACGCCGCTGAAATTTCTCAGCCAGGGAGATGCAGTTGTATTGCTTAGCACAAGCAAGGGCAAGCGCGAGGGCATTGCAATCCTACAGTTTCAGGCATGTCTAAAGATTCCGTACTCGCACTTTGCAAAGTATGAAAGCCTCCATCAAATCACTGCCGAAGAGTTGAATCAAGTCAAAGGTTCATGGAAACATCAAGACCACTGCTTTGCATGGCACTTTGAGTTGCTGCAGACGATTTGCCCACCTTTGTCTATCCCAATCAACCATGGACCAGAAATTTGGATATGGTTAGAGCCAAAGAGCCTATCATACGCTCCATCATTGGTGGAAGAATCACCAAGAGTGCAGTCAAGTATCCCTGAAGCGACCCTCAAAAAAGAGTCATCAGCGTCCTTGGGTGAGGTGGACTCCTATCCTCAAACCTCCGCACCATCAGGTGAAGATTCAGCTCCTTCGAATGCTATGGTGGTTCGACTTCCAAGCTCGTTGCTGGGCCCTCTTTTGAAGCAACCGCCTCCAGAGAGTGTCGACCTGATGGTTTCCTACAGTGCCAGAGTGGGAAAGCCCGTTTGTATTGCTGAGAGTGGCCGCGCCAGTGCCCAAGCTCCGAACAAGGTGCTTGTCAGAGGAACGGTATCTTACTGCAGGTTGGTGGTGAATTTTGCTTCATTGGCTGCAAGCAAGGCATTCAAGAGTGGCACAGCTGAACAAAAAGCAGCATGGAAAGAACGCATTCAACAAAAGAAAAAGCTTTATGAGTGGTCTCTCTCGTCATTCGAATCGCTTCCTCAAGCATGCCCGCTTGCAGGCCGGGGCAGAGCAAAACATGTGGACACCAATTTACTTCAGCCAAGCTTGGATGTGGGAGTCTTGCCTTCTATGAACTTGGACTCAACAGCACGCTACTTCCTCGCCAACATGGACCTTCGGGACAGGCAAAAGTTGGAAGCCAATCTCCGTTGTCTTGATGGCTGCACCCTTAGAATTGGGACCACATGCTCTGGAACGGACATTGGCGCTAGCGTTATTCGGCAGACTATGGCTGAGCTGTGCAGCATGTTCAATGAAACTTGGCTGTGTCATTGCATATCTATTTGTGGATATATATATATATGTGTGTATCTATATATATATATGTATATATATATACATATATATATATATATCTTGCAAAGATATGTGGACATCCATCTGCCCATCCATCAATCTGCCTATCATCTATCTATCCATCTATCTATCTATCTATCTTTCTATCTATCCATCTATCTGTCTATCAATCTATCCATCTATCTACCTACCTATCTAAATATCGTTATATTCTTTCTATACCAGTGAGCGGCCAGCTTTGCATTTCCCCACCAGCTCAGGTAAGCATCGACATTCGCCAAGTTTTTGCAGTGGAAATCGAGGAGTTCAAAAGGAACTTCATCCTCGAGGCCTTTGGAGACCACGTGGAACACATCTTTGATGACGTAGAGATATTTGCAGAGGAGCATGGTGGCAGGGGCTTTTGCTTCAAATGCTGCCAGGAGCACCTTGTACCTCAGTGTGATATTCTATTGACGGGTCCTAGTTGCAAGAACTTGAGCAAGCAGTTTTTGAACAGAAAGGACTACACCACTTGTTCCTTGGATCAACGCTATAATATGTATATATATATATAGAGATGTGCTTTTCTTCCATTTGCCATATATGAATAAATATATGTATGAGGGCTCTTCCCGTGTCGGTTGAAGTTTTTGTCGGCATAAGGCTATCAAGATGGCAGCGGGTGTTCTGGTGCCACATACCAACTTGGAGTCTTGTGCGCTGCAAAGCACACTCAGCCAGTGCTATTATTCTATGAGAATGTGATCGGAGTAGCTGAGTGGAGCAAAAACCAGGACGGTACCAAGCAACCCCCGATGGTCTTGAAAGTCCAAGAGGATCTTCAGTCACTTGGGTTTGTTTGGGAATGCAGCAAGGTGGACACGCAGAACTACTTGTTGAGACAACGACGGCAGAGGATTTGGGGCACCGCTGATGTGTCTCGTGGTCAAGACAGTGATGAATATGGGAAGCTCATGAGGGGTACCATGAAGTCTCTGGAATCCACGGTCCACTTTCCTTTTGAGGAGACCTTTGATTTGAGCTTGCCACCAAATCCGGCTTTCCTGAGAACTGACAGGTCTAAGGAGAGGATCACCCGTGCAGTTGAGTCCCGCAAATCCAAAAACCTACCTCACACCAACCTGTTTGTGGATTGTGCGTCGTCAGCAAGCTGGGGTACTGAGAAGGCCCACGAAATATCAACCTGCCTGAGACCAACCCACCATGTGTGGTCGACCAGGATGGAGAGGCCTATCACTGTTGGCGAGATGTGGAATTGCCAAGGGCTATTCAAAAGTTGCTTTCCAAACCAGCAAGCAGTGGAAAGAATATTGCACCGACCAAAGGAAGCCCAGGACCTCTGCGGCAACAGTTTCAGTTCAACTGTCATGCAGGTGAAATTCCTGGCTTCTCTGGCGCACAGTCAGGCATGGGGTGTCATAGCTGAGTCCCATGGCAATAATGGTGACGCATTGATGGAAGGCTGTGAAGAGGCAACGAATCTAGCTGAAGCTTTGGTGGAGACAGAGAAGGTTCAGACTCAGACTGACATGAACATTGCTTCCACACTGACTCCGATGCCAGCGCTTTCCTTGCCGCTTTCTTTAGTGTCTCAAGAAGGAAAAAGAGAATCTGAGCAGCTTCCAGTTGAGACACAGCCTGACAAGCGCCGCAGAATCAGAGGAAAAGTGGCAGCCTCAGAATGTCCCGGCTATCCCACCTTTGCTCCTGCAGGATGGCTTTCTGATCTATGCAAGGCGGCAGTTCCAGAGAGGCAACAATCAGGAACAAAGAGGCGCCGTGGACGACCTCGCAAAGATTCCCCCCCCCGGGATCCACCTCCAGTTCAGAAAAAGCGGCGCGCTCCTGAGCCAGAGCCAGAGTCAATTTTGGAGGATGATGCGGTTCCAGTGAAGAAACGGAAGGGCAAGCAAGGCTCACTCTCAATTTTTTCCAAGGTCAAGCTGCTGAACGAACCTAGCTCTTTTCCCAGAAAAGTTTCTGCCTCCTTCCAGTGTTTAATTTCTTTATTCAAAACTCTTCAGAAATAAGAGATAGAATATTCCCAGGGCCAAGTTCTTTCCAGACCTTTTTTCTTTCTAGCTCAAGACCCAGGAATTTGATGAGATCAAGAAGAATCCGGACATTCAGAATCCGGAAGCCTACATGCTCAAGCACTGCCCTGGCCGTGGGCAGTACCAGGGATGCTTCAGTGAGAGCAAGTGGGGAGGCAGAAGAGAGAAGTATAAATGGGACCTTTTTGTTTCCTGTGCTGAGAGGATGTCCAAAAAGATGTGTGAAGTGCCAAATGCTCTTCGTGCAGTATTGGGTATAGAGACTCTGAAGGCACCAGGTCGGGCTACAGCAAAGGGACAAGCTTCAAGCAGCATCATGCCAATGCCATTGGCACTAGGCGTTGAGAAGTTTATTCTCGAACGCATTCAGTCAGGAGAAGAAGTGACACGGGATTACGTAGCCAATCTGGTTGTTTATATGGCCAAGCATTGGAACGAACACATTGAAAAGTTCAGGGAGCAGGCTTCTTTGGTATTGGGGCAACAGGTCTTGAAGGACTGCGACCAACACGTCATTGCCACCGACTCCCCTTCGGAGAAGGAGGTTGAGGAGGCACAGAAGGTGGCAGCTGTCGCCATGAACGATGCAATGCGAACGTTGAGACCGTTCGAGTTCAGCTTGCACCCCAAAGCACTCGAGTAGCTTTGCCTTTTCAGCAATTATTGTATATATATATATTATATACACGTTAAACTGTTGGAGGCATTCTAATTGCCTATGTTATGTGTATATTATATATATACATATATGCGTGTGTTTGGTTTTCATTTTCCATATGGAAATATGTCTAGGTAAAAACATATATAGATAGATAGACAGATATATATATATATTATACCAGAGCCTTTGTTCATCGATTCGCTTGGTTGCCCCCATCTAAGGGCAACCGTCAGCCGCATGTGCAACAAACTGGGGCTGCGCCCTCATGCAATCAGCAAGCAGTCCAAGCACCTAGACTATGAGCATCCAGCTATGGAAGCGATCAGAGTCTTCATCCAGAATTGCCACAAGACACATCAAATCAACAAGAGACTTGTGGGACACTTTGATCAAGTGTGGACCGTGCACTACCAGCCTGCTACACGAAGCATTTTCAAGCCTGCTGATAAAGCTGGAACTTTATCAAACCTTCTGCTGCCTTCAGAGAAGAAAGCATTGGCTGCGATTTCTGAAGCTCTTGGCTTGGAACAAGTTGAGGCTAGCCGGGAGCATGGCCCCAGATCAGCAAAGTTAAACGCGGCAGGGCACCAAGTGCCTGTAGATCAGGCTCGACAATCGCGAACTACAACAACGCTCAGTTGGGCTGACGGCCAGGTGAGTTTGTAGTCAAAACAAATATGTCGCCAGTTTGCAACATGTTTCAAAAGTATATATGTATATATATATATAATGTTTTGGAAGATGTTTGAATTGTCCTGGGCATGTGCATCTTGTCAGATTGGGCGTGGATGGACAACTATGAAGACAGGATCCATTGACCAGGGCACCTTAGAGAAGATCAACGCCGAGCTGAAAGCCCACCTTGTTGTCAACGCACAGGACTCTGCATTTTCGTGCTAAACATGGTTTGACCTCAACCGGTTCGGGTTCCTGGGAAAAGTATTGCTCTTGTTTTTGTGTGTACATATGTATATATATATATGTGTGTGTATTGGGCATAGGGCAACACTAATATATATATATATATTATATACATATACATATGTCTGTTTGTCCAGGACTCATCCACCCACATGTGGGGCAGCAGCACTCTTCTTTCGTATCTGGCTTTTTTGAGTTCTGAATTGAGAAGAAAACGCATGGAGCTTGGCCTTTCCTTTAAAGATCGTGGCCTCATATTGATGGACCGAGCTGCGGTACACAGTTGCTCGACCTTCAAACACGCGCGTGACCGCTGGATGGAAGCCAACAACTGCCTTCTGATCTGCGATGACCAAGGGGATGACAAGTCGCTTCCTGTCATCCCTGGTGGCTGGGGAGCCACAGGGGCTCCCAATGATGGCTTCCATCAGCACTTTCACCAGCTCAGAAGATCATATCTGAGGGTTGCAGTGTCTCAGGGGAGTTTTCCACACCTTCGGAAAGCTCTTGCAGAGATGGATTTGTCGGTGAACGGGGATCCCAGGTGCAAGTTTCTTTGCTCATACTAACATTTTTTGGTCTACGACACATATATATATATATGATCATATGTGTATATATATACACATGTATTTACACACACAACAAATATGGAATATTATCTACATATAAATATATATATATACGGCAACTGTGATCCTAGGCCTCAGCGTTTCGGCTACTGTCGTATTTAACTAAGGTTGGATATGGAGGCAAGCCTAAGGGCAGACGCATGGGCTTTGCAGCAGTTGGGGGCGTATCAACAAGGAAAGCTCATTGCCTACGCGTGGGTGAGCAGAGGACTCACATCCATTGAAGACTTTGCATCTTGGCATTTTGACGGAAATGTGGAGAGTGCAAAGCAGGCTCTTGCCAGAACAAAGGATGCTATGCGGGCTCTCTTGGCCTTGGAGGAGCTGCCGTCAGTGGAGAGCGCCAAAACCCTGGAATCTGTGAATTTGGCAGAGCAATCTGTTCTTGAGGGAGAACTTGTGTCTCAGTGGGCCATTCAGGCAGATGGGGATGGCAGCCAACCAGTTCCACTCCCTATGTGGTTCAAGCCAGCAATAGACAGAACGATCATGATTTGGACCAAAGAAGCCAGCAAGTGGGATGAGTGTTTGGCCAAGCGCCACAAGAATGGGAGGGAGCATTTCACGCCAAAGCAGCAGGAGCAGTACGATACCTGGAAAGGTACATGGTGTAGACGCGTCATTTTGGACAAAAAGCGGCAGATTCAAGTCCTCAATTTCCACAAAAAGAACCTCACCCAGCTCCGGAGCAGCTGCTTGTTGCTTGAGGTTCAGTTGGCCAGGGAAGCAGAGAACTTAAAAATTCGTTCAGGCACAGGCATTTTCTATCGGCTGAAGTTGCTAGAAGTGAAGGTCCCAGCAGCCGAGCTACCGGCAGAGCTCGACCACTTCCCAGAGGATGCATTGTCCGATTGTACCTCACCTGGCCAGTTTCAGCACCAGTTGTCTTCATTGTTTCTTTTTCCAGATCATATCCTGCTGCGCATTCCATGGACATGTATATATATATATATATATTATATTTGATATATTATACATATACGGTATATATACACACTGACTGTCACACTGAATTGCCTACAAGTAGTTGCAAGCCCTTCAGGTGATGCTGAAGAGGGGGATGGCGGGGAAGATGAACACGAGCAAATGGATGAAGCTAATGGCATGGATGGAGAAGGCTCTGAGGGCATACCAGAAGACCTTGATGGTTTTCAATTCCCGGATGCTAGCGATGATGATGATGATGCGGAAGGGGAGAAAACAACCTTGCCCAAGGGTGGCAAGCGCGTGCCAGCTGCTGAGGAGAGAGAGGAATTCAAGGAATTAAGATCCCTTGGCCTGACCCTGAAGCCTCCTGGCACCTCTATTGGGGTCCATCCAGCGAACAGGGTTTGGCGTGGATACTGCGGAGAAAGCAAATACTTTGGTCGGAGCTGGGGGCAACACAGGTCTCCAAAACAGGCCTTGCTCCTGGTGTACAGGTTGGTCTTGGGGGAATACCTCAAAACCAATGTTTCCGATCATTTTGCCAAGAAGCAGTTTACCCGTATTCAAGCTGCATGCGTGGAGGAGGGGCTTGGTCCCACTGACTGGGAGGCAAATGAGTGAAGCAGATTCTGGTCCTTTTGTTTGTTTGAAGCAAGTAATCCATATTTATCCTTTCTTGCGTATATACCTAACTGGTGACTTGGACCTCATTGTATATATATATAATTCTGAAGCGCGTGGTTGCCTCCACTAATCTCTGATCCAGTACAGCTCGTCACAGTGCACAGCGGGGATTTATGCAGTCCGTGCAGTGATGTCAAAATGTCAGTGTGCAAGCGGTCAAACGAAGGGTTTTGGAATGTTCTGGATCTGTTCTGCAAGCTATTTCCACCTGCTGAAAGATAGAAATGATAAGTAAGGGGAATATTCTATCTCTTACCCGCAATTATCAAGGGTAAATGGCATTCTATCTCTTTCTCATTCGCAAGGGAATATTCTATCTTTCAGCAGCTCACTATAAGTATAAACGACAGCTTATCTCTGCTGCTTTGCACTCCAGCTTTTGACCGCTCAGGTCAAGGACTTGGCCAAGGAGTTGAGCACAATACGCCAGGAGTGGTCGTTAGCGCCGCTGTCGTGTTTTGTCGATGGTCGTCATTGCAAGCAGAACTTGGCTCAAAGCAGCTGAACCTCCAAGTCATTTTGGCTTCAGGAGGGCAGTGATATTGCTGATGCTATTGTATCACGAGAGCCAAGAGTGGCTGAGGAGAGCGAGAGCAGTGGGGTGTTGATCCAGAAGATATTGTACGCGCTCCTGTACAGTACAGCAGCTTCTCGTGTTTCGCAATCTCGACTACTGTAGATATTGAAAGAGAAAACACTGGGCTTCATGCCAAGCATATTACCTACATCAAATGGTTGGGTGCGGAGGCATCAGCTGACTATGAGGCTGCGACTCAGGCCTAGCGAGTGGAACCTCCAAAGGAATTGTTTTTCATTGTTTGGTTTGCAGAACTTTTTTCACCGGAATTCAACACCTTGGGAGTTTTTGGTGTTTGAGGCGGTTGAAGTGCTGAGATCTTCCGTGCAGGCAGACTTGGGTGGTGCTTTTTCATTCACCAGGAAGTATGTGATTATCTCGCCGCGCTTACTAACTTTTACGCACAGCGGCCTTTCGTGTACTGTATGTAGTACACTTCTCTCTCTCTCTCTCTTGTAAATCACTGTCGATTTATGCACGTGCCGTTTCTGCCTGATGTTCTAGCTCACTCCAAATTGCTTGAGGCTGACTCAAGGCTGACTCAAGGGCCCAGTGTTGGAGCGTTCGAAAATCTCTCACAGGGCCACGGCAGAACCTGTCCATGCTCTAGCCATTGATGCGTAGGACCACATGTGGGAAGGGTGGAATCGGCATGGTTGCCAAATGGGAATGTACAGTAGAGCACGAAAACTTTTGAGGTGAACAGCTATTTGGCAATTGACTTGGAACCTTAGTTGCAACCCGCTGCAACTTCAAGATTCGAGATTGGAATCACAGGCTTGGATTCAAGGTTCAAGATTGCAGGATTCATTGATCTGAGCCCAACCTTCAAGCTCAAACCTTCAAGATGCATCCTGGCCTGGGATTTGAGAAACTTCTCCAGCAATCTTGGCTGGGTATTTACTATATAATTCTTCCTCAATTCTTGAATCCTGACGCAAATACCAAAACAGCAGCATCCAAGCATCATGGACACGAGGGGGATACATGAATCTATATACATATTAATTAGTATGTACAGTATTGTCTATATTTTCATGTGCAGCACAACACTGCACAGTTCATCGTTTCAGCCACCAAACAATTTTTTCATCGCCTCAGGATTCATGAGAACCAGTGAGAAGACACCAGCGTTCTTGAGACCTGTACTCCAAGCTTCGTGCTGTTGGGAGCTCTCAAGGCAAAGCTGCAGCAGAGGTCTGAGATCCTGCAAAGGCGGAGCCCTCATCAACTGGGTCTCCGGCTCAATGCCGGGACGCTGAGATTGGTTCGTTTTGATCCTTGTAGCCGCGTCACTGCCAAACAACAGCCAAGGCTGCAAAATCTCAAGTGAGTGCTGCAGATTCTACCTGTGTCCTCTGGCCAAGGCAAAGGCACAAGAAGCTGAGCACTTGGCGGAGGAAACCTTGAACCAGGACGTTGAATGAAGCGCGCAATTTTGTCAACGACGGTATTTTCATTGTTACTAGTGACCATGGGCCCATGGGTGCGCGCTGCACTTCTTGAGCGGTGCACGGCGCCCAGCGGACGTTCGCGAAGCCATCAGTGATATTGTTGCTAGTGACAAGTGCGTAGTAGCTAGAAGTCATCTATTTTGGCAAAGACAATGTGGTTGAACACATTTCTGAAGATGTTCAGCTCACCTGCAGGCCTTAGATGGAGGTGCCATGGATGCAGCAGGGCTCTCCCAATTCAGGCAGGTATGACGCTTATGCCTGTTCGACTTGACCAGTTCACTTTGGCCAAACAATCAATCATAGTTCTTCTGTTTTGGAATCTTGAGCCTTGCCTTGAATTTGTTCCAGGCAACAGTTCCTCCAGCAGAAGGCTGCGCACACTTGCAACTGATTAGGATGTTTTTTTACGAGATTTTTGGGCAAAGGAGCATTGATTGATGTTGTAGGACTGCTTGAAGAACTCTGACTACTGAGCCATAGTCACGGGGACGCTGTGAAGTGACGAACTATTTTTGGTCGACGAAACATTCGACAACATTGCGCAACCATTCCTGCTAGATGAATAAGCATCTCCACATTGCGCTGAAGGCAGCTCTTGAGCTCGGATTCCAAGAATTAGTTCAGAGGATAGATGCATTTGGTCGACACCGAGGAAAACATATCTCTTTTAGTCAACTCGAAAACTGTGTGTAGAGGCTACATGTACTCATGTACTAGGAAGATGCACGTCAAAGACACAGCGCAAATCGAGAAGATGTACCAAACCGCAGGCGCCTTTCACGTTCGAAAAGATTCCCCATGGTAGCAGAGCCTGAGAAGCCGATTTCGGATATCTCGGTGGAGGCTCCAGGAATCTTAGAGGTCAGGGATTGGGTGCGTCGCGGCAATCAGTGCCTGAGAGCTTTGTGGAGGTGAAGGTCATTGGACTTCATTCTGAGGATCGATCAGGCTCTTGTGTTGGAGGATGGCAGGTTTGGGAGACGCAGCGCAAGGGTCATTGGAGGCGCCCGTAGCAAAGATGATTGCGATGATGCATCATCACCGTCGCCATTGCACTCAGCTTCAACAGCGCTTGAGTCAGATCCGTCAGACTTGTTCTCAGGCTCATCACACACAGGCTCACAGCTGTCTGCAGAAGAGCTTCGGGCCCCAACCTTGGGAGTAGTAGTGATACTACTAGTAGTAGTCGTGGTAGTAGTAGTAGTAGTAGTTGTTGTTGTTGTAGCTAGTAGTAGTAGTAGTAGTAGTAGTCGTAGTCGTAGTCGTAGTCGTAGTCGTAGAACTGGTAGTAGAACTGGTAGTCGTAGTCGTAGTCGTCGTCGTGGTCGTGGTCGTGGTTGTGGTCGTGGTCGTGGTCGTGGTGGTTGTGGTCGT